GTGGGACCCAAATAGATGAGAAGTAATCTTGCCACAAGTGTGGCTATAAACCAAATAATAGGCTAACTTGGTCAAACTTGACTAACCTAAGATGTGGTAATCTTTGGTAAACTTTAGGAGCAAACCAAACATCTTTTCACTCAAGGAACAAAAACTCATCTCCGTTCGAGATCAAGAGATCAAGTGGCACTTGATTGAGGAGAAGAATTCCAAGAAGTTGAGCAGATCTGCAAGAGCGGCGGCACATGCAAGAATGCAGAAGGCCGGGTCCCCTGTGGAACACATCAAGGCTAGGCAAGGACAGACAGGCACCGGTAAAGGTCAAATCGACGCGAGCGCGCGTTGCCGTGCGGGCTGCGGGCTACGGCCGGAGCCCGGAGCGGATGGCCGTAGGTGGTGACATTGGCTGTCCTGCACTCCTGCTACTGCTAGGGTGAGGGTGGGGGAGCGCTCTGGGACCAACCCCGTTGGTTCAAAAAAAATTTGGTGTGTTTAGTTTTTTTTAAATATATGGACATACATTCGAAGTATTAAACGTAGACTAATAACAAAATAAATTATAGATCATACATGTAAACTGCAAGACAAATTTATTAAGTTTAATTAATTTGTCATTAGCAAATATTTAATGTAGCATCACATTGGTTCAAAAGATTCGTCTCGCAATTTACATATAAATTGTGTAATTGGTTTTTTTCCCCACATTTAATATTTTATTCATGTGTTCAACTATTTGATGTGACGTTTTTAGTCAATTTTTTTTTAATTTAAACAAGGACTCTATTTAGATTCATTTTAGATAGAGTTATATCTTTAAAAATATCTAGCTCTAAAAATAAATTTAGACAACAAAGATACATGTGTGTTTAGATTTATTGTAGATTTAAAATTTTTTGGACAGTAATAATAGACTAGTTATTTTCTTTTTAAACGGAAAGGGTAGAGTTCTAGTACTAGTCTACGAGACGTTTTGGATGCACTTCGGCTCCACCGCCCAAATCCACCCCGAGATCTAGCGCGCCCTTCCATCCAACGACCCGCGCCCCAACCCCAGACATGCCGATGACTCCTCCGTCCAGTCCTCCTCGGCCATGGCCTATGGATTCCAACGGTCCTACTCCTACCAAGCTGTGGACTGTGGAGTGCAGTAGATCAGCTCATCATCAATCATATCCATGGGCCATGGCCCTCGTTGATTGAGCTTCTTTTTCCTTCGCCAGAAAAGGCATGTAAAGAAAATGGGACGCTATCGGTTAGAGCAAGTTCAATAGTATAGCTAAACTAATAGCTCATTTATACAATAGTTACATATTACACTATTAATATCTGGTCTCATCTGTCATACACACTGTATCTTGGAATTCGTGCTACAGCTAGCTACAAATCTGTAGCCCGCTGCCCTTCTCTCTTCTCATTTATCTTCTTAAAATATATTTGCAGCTGGCTTATAGACTGCTATTGTACCTGCTCTTAAGGTCACACGATCCATGCACGCCATACTTATACTCCCATGGTAAACTTGCGTATGTACTGTGTCTGTACTGTACTGTACTAGTGTCTACTAGCATACTTACTATTGTAGAACGGCATGTTATGTATACTCGTGCTTGGAGCCCATCCCTCGTACTCCCTCCGTTTCCTTCCGTTTTGTCGGAGGGTGAACTCCTCAAACGAGGGACCGTGGAGCCCCTTTCCGGTTCGGACCGGGGACACGGGTGAAAGATCGAGGATCAATGAGGAAAAGAGAGGGGGATCGGGCCCCTCAGGAGGATCGGGCCCCTCAGGAGTGATGGAAAATGCAGATGGTTTAGACATATTCGGGCCGTTTCTGTATGTGGTTGATCTTGGTGGAAGGAATACAAGAGTTTTTTGTTTTTTTGGGATTCGTCCCCCACTCCACTGGGCATGGATCTCCTTTTATATCTTAAGGGGTTACCACAAAGACCCAAAACCTAGCTTTAAGAGTAAGGAAAACATTCTTTATAGACAATTAATGCGTAACTTGTCTTCGGACGTGCAGAACCATGCGCGCCTTACCGCAGTATGGGCACGTCCCACCACACCGAACGACACGGGCGGACACCCGCATCATTCCTTCTTTGACTAACGACGACTTCCTCCCGTCCGTTCCCACCGGTCAGCCATGACCACTTTGAATGGACCGGTACGAGGGGATTTGGTCTGGATCCAAACTTAAGACAAAAAGCCCATCATTAATGGCAATTTAGACGGAGCATGGCGCAGGCCATGCTCCCTGACAGCAGTAGGCGCACGCGCGAGGCGCTCTGCCCGCGATCACATCAATCATTCCGACTTTGGGCGGGCGAGTAGTGCGCCTACATGCCGCATTTAATGCGACCTGTCGCGCCAACTCCTCTAATAAATGCAGTGGGTTGGCGTTGGACACGCCCGCCCAAACCATGCACGCGTGGCCGTGCATGGAGGGGGTCGGGGCGGCCCGACCCCTTTCGTGGGGTACAACCAACACACCAGCCCCGGGTGCAACCCTTCTCAGGTCAGAAAGCGCCACGTGGGTTTGAGGCGGCCTTTTTCCCCCGTACGAAGTATCCCGGACCCATATTATCTACACGTTTCATATTATAAATTGTTTTAATTTTTTTTCTAATCGAACTAAGTATGATCAAGTTTATAGAAAATTTTAGTAACTTCTATAACACCAAAGTTTTACTATAACTAAAATTTAATATATTTCGATAGTATATTTTTTTTAAAAAAATATGTTATATTTTATTATAAACTAGGTTAAACTGAAAGAAGTTCTATTAAGAAAAAGTTAAAGCGGTGGTAGTTTTGAACAATTTGGCGTGTTCAGACCCTTCATTCTGTGCATGGTCTTCGTGTTCCTACCAAACAGCACAGCAGGTGAAAAAGGTCAGGGACCAACACGACAGTGCCATAGTGGAATCTTTGCTGTTACTCTTTCTTTCTACAGGGTCACGTACTCACTTCAGTGTTCAGTCTTCAGATGTTGTACAAGAGAAGCATTTGTTTTTCTCAGCAACGTTACAAACGCTCGGGCCTCGGTATTATTGTCCCTCCTCCGAGACGGTTGCTGTATTCATACACACCGTGCCATTTGCTGACTTGCAACCGGAGCTAGAGAAATGGCTTTGCTTGTGCCTACGACGAATGCAAACAGTTGGATCGATCGTTTGATCGCGCAGGATGAGCACGCGCGCGCGAGATGGATCTGCGCATCGTGGGATCGATGGTGATGAGCTTTGGGGGGTGAGGGTCTTCGTGGATGAGGTGAACACCTTCCTCCACTGTGGACCAAGCACCGGTGGTCTCCCTCGCTGTACTCTCGCTTGCCACGGTGAACCCCTCTCTCCTTGTGCTTCTGATCGCACCGAGTGCTAGGCCTCCTCCGTGCTCGCTGCCTGCAATGGGCCCGTTCCTCCTCACTGTCATGCCACCGCCGCCGCTGCGTAGAAGAGGCACGAGCAGGGTACGACTTACCGTACCACGGTTATTAGCCTTACCGCGGGGGTACGGTAATATAAATACCACGGTAACCTCCTTAAATTTAAATAAATTTAAAAAATAATTTGAATTTTTGATAAATTTTGTACGGTTTCGTACGGTTTTTCGCGGTTACCGCGCGGTAACCGTGCTTACCGCCGGAGCGCAATAACCCCGCCCCCGACGGTTTGGGAAACCCTGGGCACGAGAGGCCGGGCCAGCCAGTGAAAAAACATGGGGGAGAGAGAGAGTAGGGTAGAGAAGGAAGAAGAGAGATGGAATTTGATGACTAGCATGCCAAGGGGGCCTAATGGACGATCGATCGCCAGGGCGATCGCCCAGCGATCGGTCCACCCCCCCTGCCCCCGCTCCCTTCTCCTCTTCCTCCTCCCCTTCTTCTCTTCCTATTACAGTACACCAAATTTTTTTTAAAAGAATAAAAAGTTAGAAAAATTTATGTATAAAAAATTTGAATTCAAATTCAAATTTGAATTCAAATTCAAATTTGAATTCAAATTCAAATTTGAATCGGGTAATTTTAGGTGTATAAACTTTAGATGTATAGAAATACTATATATAGAAAATATTTGAATTATTTGAATTCAAATTCAAATTTGAATCGGATATAATTCAAATTCAAATTTGAATCGGGTATATAAACTTTAGGTCTATAAACTTTAGGTGTATAAACTTTAGATGTATAGAAATACTATATATGAAAAATATTTGAATTCAAATTCAAATTTGAATCGGATATTTGAATTCAAATTCAAATTTGAATCAGATATAATTCAAATTTAAATTTGAATCGGATATATAAACTTTAGGTTTATAAACTTTAGGTGTATAAACTTTAGATGTATAGAAATACTATATATAAAAAATATTTGAATTCAAATTCAAATTTGAATCGGGTATATAAACTTTTGACTTATAAACTTTTGGTCTCTAAACTTTAGATGTGTAAACTTGAGGTATATAAACTTTAGGTGCATGAATTTACTAAAATAGGAAAGTAATACGGTGCCAAAAAAGGAAACCAGGTGGAGGGAGGGAGGGGGGAATCGATCGCTCTGGGCAACGCTCAGTAGCATTTCCGGATGCCACATCAGTGAATACCACTATCAATACTGTTTTAGGAGTTAAATTATATTGGTTTTAATAGTTGAGGGGTCAAGATAGTTGGTATTGCAGTTTAGCGGTATGGATCAGATTGGATCTATATTAAGGGAGTAAGAGTGCACTTATTTCCTTGTTATAGTTGGGCTGGTCTTGGTCGCGGATTTATTTGGGCCTAGCCTTTTGCCCCTGTCGAGAGATGCCATTGGGATCAGATAGGCCTTCAGCCGACGCTCAATCTGTGGCCATTTCAGCAACGGCGACAAAATCACATCATAGAGGCAGAAACGGCTTTATTCAGATTGGAGAAAACTTGCACATACGATAATAATTTTCAGAATAAACTTTGTTAAGCATGAGCAAGAAGCAGATACTCAACTAAAAAAAATAACTTGACGGATGAAAATCAGTGAATGTAATTTCATTTCCTTTACGCTGTCCTTCAGTTTTACATGATTCATTTGAAGCAGGAAGCTCTGGAAGAAGATAGATCTTGGCCTATACATGGAACATCAATACAAAATTGCAGTCATTACAAACTAATTTTACAGCAAGATAAATAGCATGAATAATTCTTGAGATAGGTACACAAAGTTAGACAGCATCAAAACTTCCAAGGTGGAAACATAGAATGATGTGATAATCTGATTTGCTGATGAAAACTTCACGACTGAGATAAAGCGAAAAAATTGTAGAGATACGATAACACTTAGTTGTCCAACCCTGTCACTGAGGCATGTGAATCACACATCGCAAACACTTGTTTTCTAGCATCAGTTCAAGTGCCTTGTTGATGTAATCGAATGACAAATCATGTGTAACAAGGTCATCGACTTGGATTTCCTGAGAAGAAGTAACATGATATCAGTCAACATTCTACCCAAACAATATTTGATATCAGAAAAGGTGAAAGACCTATATATTGGAAAAACAAACAAGGTATTTTTTGTATGTATCACATTAACTAAATATATTGCTATGTGATCATTGACCAAACATCAAATATGACATCTTGTACATAAATGCTATTATGTTCGATTGTGATAACCACTTCGCACCACAGTAAAGGATAATCCATTCACACAATTACATATGATGAAGTTCAGCTTCTTAATTTAATATTTTTAACTGAAAATAGAATTCAGTTTTATTAGGATGTTTGCTTCTACAACACATTGTCTCCGTACCTTGTTTGCATACTTGTCCACTAACAAAGGTAGATCAGATTTAGGTCTCCATCCTCCAAACAAAGACCCCTTCAATGTTCTTCCAGACAGAAGTAGTGCATAATGAGCAGAAACCTCTGGCTTTGCTTTTGGCACACCAAGAGTTACAGTCAGCCCCCAACCCTAAGAAGACCAAAACATGAGAAGATAATATATCTGGGCAGAATAGGTGGAATTGTAGTGCAATGGAAAGGAATAAAAATTACATCAGAACATGATTGCAGTGCAGTCGACACTACTCCTGTATCACCCACGCACTCAAAAGAGTAATCTGCACCTCCATTGGTCAGCCGCTTCACCACCTGAAAGTATGAAAACAATGTCTTTATGCTGTGTATATCAGGGATATGATCAAGATTTTAGAAACTACCAATTGGACACCAGTGCAACAGGAGCTGTTGACTTATTTTCCCTCAAAAATTGGGTCATGAAACATGTAATTATAAGAGCGTACTGGCAAAAGCATGTATTCAAAATCTGTCTGTTCAACACAGTGCCATATTCTAATCCTACTATTTAAGGCCTGAACAAATGACTTCTAAGGTCTTGATTTATTTATCACGATTCCATTTCTAGTTCACAATCTATGATTTAGCACAACAGTTTGTGCAAAAGGAATACCAACACCAAATATGCAGTTTAGATAAAATTGTAAACTGCGAGTGATCAGCAGTTCAGTTTTCTCAGCAAACATGATGATGTACCTGCTGAACAGGTTCATTCAATTCTTCTGGATTAATAAAATCTGTGACACCAAAAGCTTTCCCTGTGCCATGAACAAAAGTAAGTATATGGGAAAAAGTCATAATTGAAGTTTAGATTGAAATTGCAAGTTTGCAAAATACCCTTTTCTTGCTTTTCAGGATTAGTATCAACACCGATAATTATAGAAGCCCCGCGCAGCTTAGCACCTTGAGCAACCTAAGTCAGGAAGATATGAGTATAAATATTACATTTCCTAATATGCTTTCATTAACTAATAGCATAGCCTCTGTAGAAACTTACAGAAAGCCCTACAGTTCCAAGGCCAAATATAACCACACTCGACCCCTTCGAGATATCAGCAACCTTCCAGGCTGCACCAAGCCCTAGTGAAATACAGAAATGAACGAAGACATGAATGATCAGAGACACGGTTAAAATGCGCAGAAGTGCAGAACAACATAGCACACCTAATTCTTAGCATCAGTAAACCAAGTATAAGCTACAGAAAGGCGTGGAAGATAAAGTAAAAACACTGATGCCATCTGAGCCCTTAAAATTCACCTGCAGATACACCACAGCTCAGCAGGCATATCCTGTCCATCGGCACGGTTGGGCCGACCTTCACCGCGCAACCGGAGTGCACAACCGTGTACTCGCTGAAGCTTGACACTGCACAGTAATGGTACACAGGTTTCCCCCTGAGCGAGAAGCGGGTCTTCTGATCGCTGTGCATGACACCCCTCCTCTCCAGGCCGAGCTTCTGGCACATGTTGCTCTTCCCTGAAACGCAGTGCTTGCAGCTCATGCACTCTCCGATGAAGACGGTGAGCACATGGTCTCCCACTTCGAACTCGGTCACACCTTCACCAACACTCTCAACCACACTACACATCAGATCGTTCCAATGTCAGTGTTCCGAGCAACTTGCGAGACATGGCGGCAACAGCAAAAGAGACTGCTAGATCAGTATATATAGACTATACAGACCCGGATGCTTCGTGCCCGAAAATTCTGGGGAACAGATCGGTTTGAGCCTGCGTTTCGGAAACAGCAGCAAAATCGATGAGCGCATCAGGAGTATCGGGCTGGATGGAAGCAGAGCTAGAGAGGCCGGCGTACCGTGGATTGCCACTGGGTGACGTCACTGCGGCAGATGGAGGTGGAGACGACCTTGACGCGGATCTCCATGGCCTCCGGCGGCGCCACCTCCACCTCCTCCATCACCAGCGCCTGACCGGGCGCCCACGCCACCGCCGCTGCACGCAACGCAGGCATATCCCATCCACCAAAATCACCACCACAAAACCACGCAACGGAGCAGGGAGTAACTCGGCCGAGGGGGGGCTCGTACGTACCTCGGCAGGTGATGGCCGCCGCCGGAGACGACGCCGCGGCCATTCCGGCAGGCTCGCGCGGCGCCTCGTACCACTGAACAAAGGCTAGAGTAGGTGCGGACGGAGAAGTCAAACCGCCGGATTGCTCCTTGAACCCATGATGCGCACCACCAAATTAGTAGGAAGACAGGGAGGGGTAGGTAGGAACTCCCACTACCTACCACAGTTGCTACCCGCCAGCATTGTGAAGACTCAAAACAGCCTCTGTAACATCATTGTGCAATGGCTTCTCCAGAGCACCTGGAGATCACTTGGAAACCAGCAATTTAGCATCCAGAGTGTTCCCCTATCCAGATGAACCAAAGCAGCACCACTTTTTTATCACTTAAGATTGGATTGTAATATCAATACTGAAGGACGCATCATTAATTCATGATCAATACAATAAGATTAACTTCATTTTTTTTCCTTTTTAAACTGATTATGTCCATGTTTATCACCCAGATTTGTTCACAGAACTCAGGAACTTGCATGCACAGCAAAAAGTTACACAATCAACGAAAGAAAATACAGCATTAATTTGTTTTCGATCATATATTTGTACAGTGTACACTCATAGCAATGGCACTATGCATTGAATTGATTACTAGTTTGGCTAGCTTTGATCAGTAAGAATATCTCTGTAACAATGAGGCAAGAGGGTTTGAGATATGTACAGGTTAGCTGGTCAGGTGAAAAATAGGAATGGGAAACAGGGAAAATTGTGAGCTCTTTGCAACAGCACGGAGCACATTGTCATCTCTTTTTCTTGCTTTCGTTGGGTTTGATCATCTGCACAGGAGCGGCTGGAATGCGGGCCCACCACTCTCTAATCCGCCGGCGGAACTTTTCAGTGTTCTGTTTCCTTAGCGGCATCTCTCTTGTGTACACCTCCAGGACTGCAATCAGGAGCAGATGTCTCCAAGGTACAAAGATAAGAAATGCAGATGCAGCAAGAAATGCCACTGCGACCATTTCAGTTGTCTGCATAAAACAAAAGGAGATTAGCAGTTGGTGGATTAATCTCCTGTAAAATTCAAAACTACTTCATTTACAACGCTGTGGAGTAATCCGTAAAAACGGTTGAGAAGGTACAAATAAATTTCAAAGGTCAGAGCTTCAGGAACAAGTTCTTAAACAGTTCATGTCTGATGAATCAAATGATAGTTCATCATTTGTGTCAAATTGGACAACAAACTATAGGAAGTGCATCTTAGATGTAAAGAAATTTTTGAACCGAAGGAAAGCAAATATACTAAACAACAAAAGAGATACCTTTGGAACAGCTGCAAACAAGACAGCTCTGAACTTTAGAAGAACAATATTTACAGACTGTAGAGTTTCTTCCAACTTGGATATAGCATCCTGCAAGGTCAAGATTTGCTCAACAGGATTTTTACTTGGAGGAGTTCTTACTTCAAGCACTCCCAATAATTGCTCCCTTCCATTGTACTTATGCCAGAGCATAACAACAGCAAATGCCAAAAAAAATGAGGGCAACATGTAAGCAATAAATCCCCTACATAACAAAAAGGAATATGTTAGGCAATGAGATATTTCTAAGCATACTTTCTAAGATCCAAAAGTCACAAAGAAATTACCTTTGAATAACATACAGGGTAAAAGCTAAGAACAGAAATGATTTCAGAGGATCTTCCCACTTGGTCAATGAGTAAGTGAGTTTGACTACTTGAGTGAATGGGAAAAGTAACTCCTGGAATATAAGCGCGATCCATCAGAACTCAAGTCACAACAAAGGTGCATGATATTGTAGTAGACATCTGGGTGACACTAAAGTTCATGAAATTGCACCAAATAACTAGTGAAACGTGCTATCTTTTCTTGCTGCACTCTAGAAACCATTCAATCCCAAACCAATAAGAACAATTTAAGTTGATTTATCACCAAAGTACCTGCATGAGGGCAAGATTTGCATCCACACCTTCCACCTTTACTTGATCTATAGTTGCACGTGCTGCATCTATTCTCTCAGAGTAACAAATTGACTCTTCCAAAGCAGCCTCTAGAGATTTTGTTACACCAAAGCAAACAGCACAAAAGCTTATCTCACTTTGAGCTTCATCTTTTCTCTTCAGTAATATAAATCCCATTCTAGAGAGAGCATATAATGAAAATGGTAATGAATGGTTCTGCAGCCTATTGTCAACGGGTGACTCAGTCACCAAATGACTCAACGAAGTGTCCAACAGTTGAAAGTAGTTAGCATACAAGGCTTTTAAGACCATGTCTCCTTTTGGAAGTTTTTCTGCTAAGCTAAAAGTGAGTGTTGTCTTAAAGTGAGAAGGAGAAATATGAAAAGCTTCTTTCACAGCAGAGTATCTCAAGATGCCCAGGATAGCTTTTGAGAGTGCTTCCGCTCTCTGAACGTTTTCAAGATTGAACTTCCTGATGAATTTATTCACCTGCAATACTTCACGAGCGATTGCTAACCAATAGTCTCTTCGTGAGGGACCTCCTAATTCAGGGAAGTCAAAATAAATTGGCTCTGTTCTGCAAATAATGTATTGTTAGTTCTGATGGCAACCCATAGAAGTATAATCAATACTTAGCAAAACAGAAATTGGTCCTATTGGAGAATCATTCCCCTTTCAATACTTACAAAGTGCTTGATTTGTACATCACAGCCTTATCAAACAGGCGAACACCCAATGGCCCAGTAAAATCACGCTTGATAACCTGATCAGAATCTGTTGCTAAATCATATTTAACAATCTTGTCACCATAACCCACTTTGATACTCTGAAAGTAAAGAGCATGAGTTGTAAGAATCAATCTTCCTGCGAAAAAGAATGAAAACATCAGTAACTTGCCAAAATGAAGCACGGTTGCAAATTGAGAAATCAAATGCAAATTTAACTAATTCACCTGGCCATGCTGATATTCCAATGTGTTGAAAAACAGGATGAATAGGCCTGTCTCCATCCATAGCTAAGATACATTCCCCAGCATCAAGATGAAAACTTGAAGCAAGCGGTGACTGCAATATACCTTTGACAGATCTGAATACCCTGTACGTAAGAATAGCAATAATACTCCTCTCAGTGTCTTTATTGACTCAATCACAACGATAGATTTGAAGCAGAAAGAACTACCAAAAATCTAGAACCCCCTCCCCACGTATTTTGTCACTAATATCCAAGATACATGTGAAACATTCACCAGTTTTGCCCAACCAGCAATTCAATTATCTATAATAAATGACCAGTTATGTTCCGGAAAGAAGATCCATTTTACAACAGAAGACCTACTGCTGTGAAACTCCATATGCAGAGTTAGAACACGGATAGTTCAACTCAACACAATCACTCTTTCAAGTTTTCAACGGTCATTACAAGATAACTATGCACAGATTCAGAAGACATTGACAAACAGAAGTGAAAATGAATTTTGAGAGCGCAATAATCTAATAAGTTGTATTCCTTACTTGTCTAAACTTTTGATATACTTGTCAAACACGAAAAAGTGCAAGCGGCCACCAGATGAACATGTGAGTGCATCGAACAGATTGTGGACAGTAACCAAGTCAGCTATTATAGGGCATGAAGGTGCTATTCGTGCAAAAGCACCTAAGCCAACTGTCTTCTTGTCATTGACCTGAAAATGGACCGCAATTGATCATGTGTGTGCACAGTGAAGAATTATTTCCAGGTTAGAAAAAGCAATGTAGTTTGTAAACAGAACTAACTTGAACCGCCAATCTTGTGGAATTTGCATAAAAAATTGATCCCTCGTCATCATCTTCAATATCCACAGTTGTACGCAAAGCAGAATGCTGACCATCATAGCACAATTAGAATGACTGCTGAACATCGTAGAGTAAACTCATACATTGTGAAAGTTTTACACAAAAAATGCAGATTTGGCAATATTTTTCCCTTTTGCTGAAATATAAACATTTTGATAAAACGAAGAAGTAAGAATATTACAAACAAACTACAGAAAGAAATGTTTCTCACATTTTCTGATAATTCATCCTCAACAACAGCACCTGGGTGTTCCCACGCAAGCATCATATCAAACATTAAACGGCGAAGATTCTTATCAGCCAAATGATCTGGACGTGTAGTTACTTCATGGAGAGCTTTGTGGCAGCAGTACTCTAAAAATTCCTTTGCATATGTATTAGACTCCTTACAACTATCGGGATAGTCAACTTCAAAGTTTTGCTGCAAGGTTTCGGTTGCAAGAGCAAGAACCCTGAAAATGTTAATTTGAGAAGAAACTTGTTAGAAGTTTGTCAGGCATAACAAGAAATTACAACTTAAATCATATAAGAGTGGTCAAACAAAGCAGAAACATGATCATGTCAGTGTATTTAAAAATTAAAGATAACTACAATAGACAATAGTAAGCTATGGAAGTTGATCCAATTGTGGCTAGCATATGATTCTCAGTACTCCCCTTAACAAGTTAGCATGAGTGCTTGATCAGTGATTATTGCATTAATTAACCATCCTGCAACGCTACAGGTTGTTGCCTTTATTTGTTTGTGTTCTGTTGACCTCCTTCAGACCTGTTTGCTTTAGATAAGTAGAGTGTTGGCTGAACAAGATTAATTCAGAGTTTAATAGTAAATAATCTATGGTTGATTCAAAGTTGAAGAATAAATAATCCATGGTTAATTTAGTGTTTAAGAATAAATAATGTAGATAATCATAGTTTCTAGATCTCTTAGGCACGGGTCAGCAATCAAATAAGTTTCTGTCAGGCATAATCATCAAAACTCATGTGAAACTCAGGCATGCAATTTTCTCAGGCACAATACTCAGGTCACCAACCAAACAGGCCCTATATATATATAGGGATCACATGCTCACAATGGCCAAGTGTCCAGAAATAAAGAGTAAATTTCACAAAACTACACGTTTTGTAGTCCAAGTTGCATAAAACCACACACACTTTGATACTTAGCACTTAAGTACATATATTTTGGTAGTGTAGTTTCACAAAACCACACTATCGATGAATGGATTCACCCGCGAGATGACGTGACTGTTTCACCTAGGATGAGGACATGGCATCCTATTACCAGCCATCGCACGAAATTAATAGGATGCCACGTCCTCATCCTTGATGGAACAACCACGTTATCTCATGGGTGAATCCATTCATCGATAGTGTGGTTTTATGAAACTAAACTACCAAAATATATGTACTTAAGTGCCAAGTGTCAAAATGTATGTAGTTTTCTGCAACTTGAACCATAAAATATGTAGTTTTGTGAAATTTACTCAGAAATAAAAAAAGCTAATATTACCCTCACCATTTCCAGGAGTGACAATATTGATCCTATGGAGAGTATGCCAGTACATTGAAATCAAGTCTATCGGCCTTGAGAATATAACTATAGAAGCACGCTACTCTTCTATTGGTAAACCAAATCAATTTACCTAATAAGCAATGATGGATTAGCATACACTGATTTTAGCATCCGCTGAGCAAACCAGCAAATATACGAGTTAAGTTTGGGTCCTATGCAATCTCTGGCAGTTCAGTACTATTTCAGCGTGATCATGCGGGGTAGAGTAATGCAACCCACACCGATCGAGAGCACCCAGATCGGCCGAGCTAAGCGCTGCCGTCGTTGCGGATGAGCAAAAGCAAAACAGTCACTAAATGGATTGGATCAACCTCCATCCCCCAACCCCAAACCCCGAGTGGAGTAGAGAACAACAGATTCGTCGCCCCGGAACCGGATAACGGCGTACCTGGAGCAGCGGGAGACGACGGAGTTGGCGATGGAGGAGAGCTGCGGGATGCTCCGGTCGCCGGGCTCGCCGTCGGCGGACGCCGCGGCGGCGGAGGAGGAAGCGAGCAGGGCCGCGGCCCCCGCCGCCGCCCGGCGGGTGGAGAGCTGGGCGAGGAAGGTGCGGATGGGCTTCTCCCGCATCCACGTCTCCACGATCCCCATGCCCGACGGCGCCCTCGCGCTCTTGCTTTGCTTCAACCGGAAGCCTCTGCTTCGGGGGCTTTTTCAGCCGGGCAGCGGCAAGGAAGCCAGCCAGCCTCCAGCCTCGAGTTGTTTTATTTCCGCCGCCTCGTTCAGTCCGTGCGGTTTCTCTGTTGCCTCTCAGCGGTTTCGAGTCAGTTCTCCGTGAGGAGAGGAGACGGCCATTGGCTAAAACCACCAATCCCCAATAATAAGATGGGCAGTCACCGGTTGACTCTGGTATTTCTGGGATTTACAATTTTTTTTAAAGACGGCTGTTATAAAATGGGATCCCGTTACAACAGACATATTAACTATTCTCTTGCACAAATATTACAGGTATCAGATCCTAGATATCACAGGTACCGGGTAACATGTATCACAGATATCGGGTACCATGCAGCTGGTACCACAACAGGTATCATGTATCAGGTACGGTCTCATAGAAGGGTATCTTGTTCCAACAGGAAACTGTCTAGGTTTTCTGTTTTTAAAAACCTTTTCAATTTTTATTTTTAAAAGTAAAACATCCTAAAACTTATTTTCAAACCTAAAGCATTTTTCAAGCTAAGATAACACTGACAATGTTTATTTTTGGCGCACCTAAAAGGTTTAGATTTTAAAATAAGTTCTAATATTATTTATTTTTAATTAAAAATAAAGAAAAGTTTTACAAAATAAAAAAATAAACATGCACGGTGAGACTACACAAGATATTAAGATATTAGTAGATATGAGTTAACAGGTCAGATTCTCGTGCCTCATTCCCACCTGTACAAACTAAATCTTTCCACTCTAAATCTTGGATGCAAAATTTTTCCCTAACCTGTACCCACGGTCGAATGAGATAGGGATAGGACGAGAGGCAACGATACAACGGAGAGTAGAGGTTTGTCGTGAGCGTGACTCGTTGAACCCTCCTTGTTGTCTCCCTAGATACAAGTGCGGTATGTGTGGCAGTAGAAAATACATCTAGGGTTGAGCATGTCCGAGTAGGATGGTTCTATACTAGGTTTTGGATTTTTAGTGCTAGACTGCTAGTTGCTTAGACCACTTGAACTTTTTGGGGCTAGGGTTAAGGATGTTTTTACCCATGAGTTAACAGGTGGTGACAAACCCAAAACAAATATTACGTGTGGTTCTATTACATGCTAATGATTCAATTACTGAGTAACATAGGCATAAATCAGTTCGAGAAGGACAATCTATTTAGAATCATGTGCACTCAAGAAGATATACATTGGTACACCCCTATATGATGAGTATGGGTGGCCAAAGAACAGACACAGACCCAATCACCCTACGGGTTAGGGTTGGCCTATTTCTTATATAACGTATAATAGAGTAAAAATGCATCGGGATCCAATTCCATAAGTAGATAAGGGTTTGTTTTGCTAACCCAAATCTTCCTCTTGAAGGCCACGAAGACACGTAAAATCCTCTGAAACACATAATTTCATAAGACTTTCAGAGTTCATCTCCCATGAATTCGTTTTGAAGATCCTCCATGTTAGGAAACGATAGGCAAACAAACGATAAAGAACAATAGATCAATCATAGATGACACGATATTTAACGTGGAAAACCCTCCTAAAGAAGGAGAGAAAAAACCATGGGTACCAGCCAGCAAAATATCTTCACTATATCAGGGTAAGGTTACAACGCCGCACGACGATTTACAAGAGGTATATATATGAGGTGGGACCTTAAAAGGGATTACGATACGATCCGGCAGGGCCTCCACTTCGCTCTAGCAGAAGCTGGTTTTTATTAAGTGCAAATGAATTTGGATCACAACTCAACACTCCCTTCCAAAGAAAAACCTAAAGTTTATCTCTAGAAAATGCGTTATAATTAGATTTTCTGCCAAATATGCTGAGATGGGTGGCTTCAAGCTGGGCCATGGCCCATGTGGCCTTCCATAAACAGGCCCAGCCTGAGGCTCTAGCGGATGATTCCGGCCTGCCTAACATCATACCCCCTTCGTCTCGAGCCTGCGTGGATCGCCTCTTCTCTTTATTCCATCGTCACTTCGGACAAGCGAAACGGGAAGCCCAGAGGCATCAGCCAAGCCACACGTCTCGAAGCTTCTTGTAACAGGAGCTAGGGTTAGGTCTCCGAGCCTCCGACCTTCCGATTCCTCTCCGCCGGCAGCCATGTCAGGTCGCGAGGTCCGCGAGTACACGAATCTCAGCGACCCCAAAGGTTTGCGATTCCGGCGCATCCTTCCTTCTTCCCGGTTTATTATTCTCCCCCATTGATGTTCTGTGCGCTTTCGGTTGTTCAATATTGATTTTGGGTTCTGCAGATAGGAAGTGGGGGAAGGGGAAGGACAAGATTGATGATGAGGACATCACCTTCCAGCGCATGGTCGCAAAGGTTAGACCGGATCGTATCGCTAATTTCTGGCGTTATTTAGATAGGCTTGTGTTCTAGCGTTTTCTCGTTTAATATAACTGCAAACGTGTTGGAGATTATGGTATTGTATATCGGTGAAATAGGCTGCTGCATTTGTATTTTGTAGGTACCTTATTATATTTAGGGGGAATTTTTTTTAGTATTTCCGAGCTAATTAGGTGATATTAGCTGGCGCTTTTTTAGTTGAATGCTTAAACCTCATGATTTGGATTTTGAATACGATGGCCTTGCTTGGCTTGGTGCATATGGCGTCAATCTGGCTTTACATATGTTTTGTGCATTTCTGCTCTGGTGGACTATTGCTTAGTTTACACATATTTTTTGTGGAACAGTAATCTCCAGCCTTTTCTTTTGTGCTCAGTTCCTTCAGCTTGATTCAGTTTTCGCTATACCCAACCCTGAATAAGCTAGGTGGATTGTATAAAAGTAACTTTCAAGATCGAAAAATAGTTGTGGTGGAAACCTAGTGCATAAACACCATAACCAGTTGGAAATAAATGGAATCAGTTGTTTTTGAACTTACAAATTGTATTCGTATTATGTTAATTTTTCTCCTGAATTTGAGTTGCTCATGACCCACCTCCATTAGGTACTTTGCTTGCGTTTAATCTGAATTCAAGGGATACTTGGCTGATTCCTATGTGTTGAATTAATAGGACAAAAAATTGCCTTTGCTTGAAGTATCTATGAAGATGAATATATATATTTAACTGTTGAAGCAATAGCGCTTAAATTGGTTAATGGTTATGGGCAATTGTAATGATTTACCTTTTCTTTTTTCCTTTCGAAAGCTTGCTTTCTTATCGGGTGCTTCCCACGGGCATCTATGTGCAATGTTCTGATAACATGCCCTGACAGGGATTTTGGCTCTCTACTTGGCGGTTGATGACGACAGATGCAGGAGGTTGCTGGTGAACGGGGAGGTTACCTTCATGGGCGAGGAGGTATTTCATGCTCTCTGTTTTTTTGTATGAATCTGTGTAGGTTCCTCATTAACTTTGTTTTATGTGTCGATGTTTTTTCAGCATTGGACAGTGATGATTTACTGTACCTAAAAGAACAAATGGAAGCTGAGGAAGACGCAGAGCGTCTTCTTCGCCGTACTGAGAAGCGTGCATTTGCTGCTTTTAAGATATCCTCTTCTTTTAGTCATAGCTTATGTTTTGCATAGTACAGTTTCATGAAAAAAAAAAAGGGACTATTAGCTCAATATAGCTCAAACCAGTCTTATGTCAAATTGCTTTTTTTTTTCCTTTTACATAATTACCTAATTTCCATTCACAGGTCAAAATAGCAGTATAGCATGATAGGAATAGCCACCAACCTGTGTTTTCTATGTTAGTTTCTATCAATCTCTTTGAGTTTCTTTAACTCTGACATCACAAAGCAGCAATTTTAGCTGATTCTACACCTGCTGTTCCTGCGGCTCTTCGAGTCGAGCCTAAACCTAAAAGCGATATCAGGTAAGCTGTGTGTAACAAAGGTTTTACTTCCATCTACAGTCCGTTTGCTTATTATGGGCACATGTTGTCTGGACAGGCAACAAGATCTCTTGAAGAATATTGTCGGGATCAAACCGAAACGGACAAAAGTTAGCAGCCCTTCACAACCAGCAGAGAACGATAAACCTAAGCAGAGCCCAGAAGATTCTGTCAACAAAGTGTCCTCCCCGCAGAGCCAATCAGGATCCAGGAAGGAATCATCTCAGCGGGACGGGGCAGTCAGTTTTGAGAAGCCTTTGTTGAAACCAGTTGAACCGAGAGAGTCCAAGCCACAGAATGCAACTGGAAGCTTGCTCGGTTTAGCTTACGAGAGTTCAGATGAAGAATGATCATTGGTTTAGATGGAAAGCAGAACTAGTGTGTAGATTGTATATTAGGCATTTTGTACTGCTTGCTAGAGCATGTTTTGTACCTGGATTTGTTAAAAGCTGCTTAAAGCTGTTTTTTTTTCTTTTTTACAATTTTTCCTATGTAAACAAACGGTTGAAATTGGACGGAACTCATGGTTTAAAGTTTACATGCGTACTTAACTCCTCCCTTCCCACCCTTCGGAATATTGTTAATCATTGTGGAAACTCGAACATGATTGCCGTATGTAATTGCATGGGATGGAAACAGAACTACTGGCCCTGTCAACAAAAACTAAAATGATCGACCAATGGATACTGGATACACAATGCTCATACTCCTACCTAGCTTAACTCCTCCCGTCCCACCCCCTCAGAATATTGTTAATCATTGTGGAAACTCGAACATGATTGCCGTATGTAATTGCATGGGATGGAAACAGAACTATTGGCCCTGTCACCAAAAACTAAAATGATCGCCCAATGGATACACAATGCTCATACCTAGCTTGTCAGTAACGTGACAGCATGAATTTGACCATTACTTCGGTAGCTTAAAGGCGACTTTACAATTTGCTTCAGGCTCACAAATTTCAAAGGCTGATAACCAATTCTACAGCTTTCAGAAAACGTCATAATTTGCTCCAGCCTCGCAAAGTCGTAGCAGCAAGAGGAATGTGTCATCTTCCAGACATAACAAGAAATTCACAGTTTTCTCCAAAAATTTCTGATCCCAGAAGCAAAAGATTTCAGGCTCCCAAAAAGACCTGTCTTCGGCTCAACCTCCGGGTTCTCTTCTCTGTATGAAAACAAATAAAAAGGGGACACGTTATTAACAAGACATCCAGCATGAAAAAATGACAAAAGAGCAACTGAAATACTTAACAATCAGCATGTTGTATTAAACAAATTGACCCAAGAGTGAAACTCAGAAAAGTGTTCTAACACATAATGATTTTCTATGATTGTTATCAAACTAGTGGAAACAGGCGGTACACTAAGTCAGAAAGTCCCATTTGAGCAATGGAATCAAAAGACAAAATGCATGACTATAATAAAGTAGTCATGCTTAGAACATCCACCAATGGAACTAGAATGTGTTAACTTGTGTAGTGGCCAGAGCTGAACATAAGATTATTAAAGTAGTATTCATTTGATATCATTAATTGATGCAAGCAATAATACTCCATAGTTTAAGTAGTTGATCATACAAAAACACTGAATAATGCAAACATAACCAGTTATTAAATTAAATACTATAATAATGAAACAAATCACTTGATAATACATCGGCTTTAACATGAAAATAAGGATATAGCACGTAATAAGCAATACCTGTCCAGTACATTTGCCTTGACCGTCTTATCACCTTCAATTGGATCTGATACAGGTGGTTCACTGACATTCTTAAACCTTGCTGTACTATTCAGCTCTATCTTGTCAGATTTGCTTTCCCCTAGTTCTAGGTCAGTTGGATCTGATTTAGTATCTAGTCCCAGAGATATGGAATCTTCATTCTGCATACACAATTCTGTGTATTAGAATTTTTGAGAAAAATGGCTACACAATTTTGTATCAGCACAAAATAATGAACTCATGGAAATGTTCAGCTCATAGCATTAGAACCTTTATGCTGTCACTTTCTGTTTGACATGACTTGATTGATTCATTTGCACCCTGTAAACTATCTGCAGTGTGAAGGTCTTGCTTGACAGCTTCTGTTTCTCCAGTGTAATGAGAAGTGCCTGATGTCATCTGTGATTCTTCCAATCTCCATGTTTCAGTCTGAAAAAAACACGTATAAGGCATATGAAATTTATGGCCGCGGTGGCTTGTAAGATTGGAATCAGGTTTTAGATTGCACGCTTGAAGCGCATAAAGAACACAAAAGTTTGTCAAAATGGGTGAACTTTAGACATTTTAACGTACTGTTTGGCAATAAAGGCAAAACAGGGAGAAACACACCTTATCTATGATTTCAGTGCTGGTAGCAGCAACTTTCTGGGAGAGGTGAAGGTCATCTGTATTTTGGTTTCCACTGAAGCTTTCAGAATTAAATTGAGCATTTCCATGGACATCCTTGGGCTTTAAATGCTCAGAATGTTCAGCTGTTTCGGGCAGCTCAGCTGCCTTAGACTGGTCCAGTTGTAACATTCTCTGGTTGTACTCAAGTTCCTGAACTATCTCCCTCACCGTGTAGTGACCCCCTCCAACATGTTGACGAACAGTCGTCATCGTGGGGAATTTACCATCATTCGATGCCTTATACCTGCACTAAGCAAAACCACGAAGAAGCATGAACTATTAGTCATGTTGTCGCTGCATTTGAGCCACCTATTCCGTATCAGTTATGTGCAATCACAACACATAATAGATAAAGTCGCGCTACATTTCACAACATCGGTTTCTAGGTTTGAAGTTCAAGTAGTGAGATGGTCTAAACAGCACACTACTTGCGCCGTGTTTAGTTCCAAAATATTTCTTCAAACTTCCAACTTTTCCATCACATCAAAACTTCCCTACACACATAAACTTCTAACTTTTCCGTCACATCGTTCCAATTTCAACCAAACTTCCAATTTTGGCGTGAACTAAACACAGCCTTAAATGCAAAACCAATAAACCATCCATAAATCTCCTAACTCAAATCAACGCAAGATTCACAAATGCCAACAGGACAAAGCCACCTACTCCTCAACAAATTTCTCTATTTTAACCCTCCTCTCCTGCTTGGTCATCCTCTTTGGCCCTTTGGGCGCCTCCTGAGCGGACAGCGGCGCGGCATGTGACTTCCATCGGCAAGTCCGGTGGCACGAGCGCGAGATCGTGCTAGAGACGCCCGCAATCACTGGGAAACAGAACAAACAAAGATGAACAACGAATCAGCACCGCAGCCACCCCCCCTAAAAAAAACTCAAGCAAAATTACCCATGTGGAGGGCTCCGATTACTCACCCCGCTTGGATGCGGCGGCGGTGTAGAGGCGCGCGGACGCTTGCATCGGGGAGGCAATGGCGGATTGGGCTGGGGGGATTGGGGTTTTAGGGTTTCATGGGTTGTTTTGACTCGATGAGGACGAGGTTTTGTCGTGGTGGGGAAGCCGAAGGGAGAGGAGGGTAGGGGCGGCGGCTGGTTTGATGTCTTCTCGCCGGCTTTTCGGCCGACTAGTTGGGCCGATCTCGGCCCATGTAAATCCAGCAAAATGCCTGTTCTTAAAGCTGGGCCCATCTTGCCACAGGGGTTCGTCTCCGCGAAGGCGGAAACAACTTCCGAGAATCCTAACCAGCGATGAATCGCTCCGGGCGATCAATCCCCCCCCCCCCCCCTCCCTCCACTTTCTTTTTTTTACACCATATTACTTTTCTATTTTAAAAAATTTATGCACTTAAAGTTTACACACCTAAAATTTACACATCTAAAGTTTATACACTTAAATATTACAGACCCAAAGTTTATAAGTCAAAAGTTTATATATCCGATTCAAATTTAAATTTGAATTCAAATATTTTTTATATATATTATTTCTATACATCTAAAGTTTATACACCTAAAGTTTATAGACCCAAAGTTTATAAGTCAAAAGTTTATATACCCGATTCAAGTTTGAATTTGAATTTGAATTCAATTTTTTTATATATAGTATTTCTATACACCTAAAGTTTATACACATAAAGTTTATAGACCCAAAGTTCATAAGTAAAAAGTTTATATATCCGATTCAAATTTAAATTTGAATTTGAATATTTTTTATACATAGTATTTTTATACATAAAATTTTCTAACTTTGTTTTTTTATTATTTTAAAATTTATGGTGTATTAGGAAGAGAAGAAGGGGAGAGGACGTATAGTGGGATGGGGGGGTAATCGCTGGCAGCGATCACCCGCCCATTAGCGTCGCCCCAACACAACAAAAGTGTCTCCCAAATGAAGAGAAAAGGTTGAATTAGAACATTTGAAACATGAAGGTGAAACTTGAATCTGAACAGTATATATGAACAAAAACCCTTGAATTAGAACATTTGGAAGATGAAGAGAAAAAAATGAATTCAAACAATACTACTAAAACAAAATGCTTTCGTTGAGAGTCGAACTCAGGACCTCCCGCTTACTAAACGGGTGCTCTAACCAACTGAGCTACGAAAGCTCTAGTTGTGTTATTTTCAGTGTTTCGTCAATTTTATGTTGTTTTCCCTGCCAAAAGAAATTCATGAACACTGAATAACCATGATATGTTCAGTGACTTGTACTAAGTTTCCATGTTCATTTCATTGAGAAAATTACTCCGATCCTAAGAATTGCAGTTTTGATAGGAGAAACTTGAGAGAGTAATCTGGAATTGTGGTACTGAACCCGGACTACAATGATCAATCTGGAATTGGGTTTTTGAAATGATAGTATATAGAGATTATAAACCAACGTGCTTTGTAACAAAAATAAAATCTTGCATAAATGGAAAATGAATCCATTATATGCTGAGCTAGAACAGAAGAACCTGCCGATAAACTGGAAATGAATATGAAATCAATACACCAGAAGATTCAAGTGTGCAGCCTAAACACTGACGACAAGAGTATACATTGCCAATGTCACACAATGACCTACATCTGAACAATGTATCACTAAACCAAAACAGTGGACCACAATCCACAAACACATCTGTGACTGAAGCAGCAATCCATCTTGCCACTAGAAACCCAATCTACTACGAATGACACTGAGCAGTGATCACAAATTCTACAACCTAACAGCAGCATACATGAGTAACATGGATAATTTTTTCCTTCTATGACATGGCCGAGACGGCCCGAACACCCGACCGGCCGCTGGCCACGCTGCCGCCGCCGCCGCCGCCGCTGCGATGAGCACCGCGTCCACGATGAACGACGTTGTTGCTGTTACCACCAGAGCTGCCGGCGCGCGACCGGACGCTGTGCTCCGGCTGCGCCGCCCTCTGCTTGCTGCTCTGCCGGGAGCGGTTCAGCGGGCTGCGCGCGCCGGCGTGGCTGCTGCTGCCCTGCTCGACCACCTCGTCGCCGTTGTTCGTCGAGCGCGACGCGCTCCACGTCCGGTCCGTGGACTCCACCGAGTTGGGCTCCCACGACGGCGTCCACGGGTTGCCGGAGACGCTGTTGCTCCCGGCGGACTCCTGCGGCTCGGTCTCGCCGCCGCCGCCGCGGATGTCCCCCCGTGGGGCGGTGGCGTGCCTCTTGTGCACGCCCGGCTCCGCGAGGTCGTCCATGCCGCCGCCGAGCGGCGCGTTGACCGATCCCCTGTCGTTGGCGGAGCGGTCGGGCTCGCAGGAGTGGCTGTCCGACGACGAGGAGTTGAGGTCGGCCACGGCGTCGAGGATGGAGCACGCCTTGGAGACGCACGCCGGGAGCGAGAAGCTGGGCAGCGTCGCGGCGGTGGCGGCCACGGAGGTGGTGTTCTGCTGCTGGTGGTAGCTCTGGATGTCCTCGAGGAGCTGGGTGGCGTACGAGTTGGTGTTCTGGTCGAAGTCCCGCGACGCCCGGCGAGACCGGGCCTTCGTGTTGAGGCTCTCGGCCGTGGCACTGGCCGTGCGCGTCGCCGTCGTCTTAGACGCGGGCGGCGCCGCCGCAACGAGGACCGTCTCCTCCACGACCTTCGGCTTCTCCTTTGAACGCTCCGTGGCCTTCTGGGGAGCGGCGGCGATGGCGAGCGCGTTTTCCGAAATTTTCTGGATTCACGCGAGGGATTTGAGATAAGAGGAGGGAATTGCGGCAATAGCTGGCATAAAAAAAACTCGAAATTTGTATAGGTTGTTTACCTTGTGGTGATTGGCACCATTGTTGTTGCGGAGGGAGTTCTCGTCGATCTCCGCCATGGGGCTGCGCCTGTACGGCGACGAGCTCCGGCTCAGCGAAGGCGTCTGCGCCGCCGTCATCTGCCCGCCTCCAGCATTCTCATTCCCTGCAGCCACCATCCTCGCAGGCGAGCTTGATCTCGGAGACGCGCACCTCTTGCCGGACGCGGCCGCGGGCGACGGCGCGCGCGCCTTCTCCCTCGCCGGGACGGACACCATCTTCCCCGGCTGCTGTCTCACCACCCGCTCTCCGCCGCCGCCGCCTCCGCCGGAACCTGCCGGAGCCGGTGCAGGGGACACACCTTCGGCACGCCGCCCAGGCGATCGGCTCGCTCTACGGCTGCCGCCGCCGCTGCTCCTCTCCCGACTACCAGAGCGCTTCCGCTGCGGCGAGCCCCGGTGAGGCGACGGCCTGGACACCGCGCCGCCATGCCTCTCCCAATCGCGCTCCTCATCCCCACCACCACCACACCCGGGTCTCCTCTCCTGATCAAAGTCGTAGCTCCTCTTCGACCTCCGGTGACCGGCCCCCGTCTCGCTCGACGCCGCCCTCCCGGACGAGCTCCGGCTGAGGCGGCCGCACTGGATGAGGATCGCGTCCACCTCCTCCTTGGTGCAGCTCGACGTCCGCACCGGCATGGTGGGCACCACCACCACCGGCCTCCTCTCCTCCACATTCACGGCCCCGGACTTCGTCTTCACGACGAACACCGCCTTCTTGTCTCCCGCCGCCTCCACCGCCCTGCCCGCCCTCGTCTTCTTGCCCTTGTCGTCCGCGGCGATCTTGCCGGACTTCCTCTTCACCTGCGGGGAGGTGGTGGCCTCTGCACCACCGTGCGGTGGCGTCGTCTCCTTCTGCGTCTTGCTGCAGCAGAGACCCATGGTAGAGGAAACCGGAAGAAGATGATGAAGAAGAAGAAGAGGAAGGTTGAGTTGGAGTGCGAGGAGGTGGTATTTATGCAGTGCTTGGGGGGAAGCGGATTAGGGGGAATTAATTATGTGTTGGAATGCGTTGTGTTTTGTGTTAGCGGCTGCGAGCTGCGTGCATGGGCGTGGCTGATGGCTGCTGATGTATGAGATGATGAGAGGGGGGGATTTCAAATCTTCTCTCGCTGATTGCATTCGGGCGCACGGGTGGGGCGAACGTTGAGGAGACCGTAGACCTGGCGTTTGAGGACTGATCTGCTGTGTTTAGACCGTGGCAGTGATGGTCCACGAGTAACGGCTCCACGGCTCACGGAGAGGAAGCTGAGGCTGGGGCCCTGATTATCCATCTCAATTCATCAAAACGGACAGTGATTTAACTGGCATAGGGCATAGTGGTACTAATGTAGGAGTATCTGGCTTTGATTATCGTTTACCAGTACTGCCTGGCTGCCAGCACAGCAGATCAGCGCAGTATTTGCTTACTACCAGTAAGGGCATTCCCAACCCAAGACACTAGACATAGACATAGTTTCCATAAACTCCACATCATCAAGAAACTAGTACTAGACATTACTCTTCCAATACAAACACTACTATTCCATATTTAAATTTAATGCTACTTATCTCACTACTATTCCACTACTATTCTTCTCTTTCCTCATTTATTTACTTGACACATCATTTTTTATTATATGTGGCAGCTTATTTAATGCTATGGACACCATCCTAATTATTGGGTTGGGAATGCCCTAATGCATTGCACGCATAAATCAATAACTGCACCCGGTACATCAGCTGCGGACGGGTTTTTTTTTAAGGAAAAGAAAAGAAACGAAGTACTAGTAGTAATTCTTTGTGGGCAAAATGCTGCTGAGCTGTGAGATTCAGTTCTCACCCTTTCTTGCAGCCTCGAAGCGTCACGGTGGTAAAAGTTGTTCATTTTTGCTCGGCTTCAAGCCTTCAACCATGCGGGGCCCCGTTGTCACTTGTCACAAACAGGCTTACTGTATCTGCACGGCGATTCAAATGGGCGTTGGGCATCCGACGCGAGCGAGCCCGATCCAGATTCACCCAACGGCTTCCTGCCTACGACACGCAGACGCACAAGATTTGCACGCTCGCGGGCGATTCCCTTTGCCCTCCTGTCGCACCAGAATTCGACCGTTGCGTTAAAATACCTCTTCTTTTGAACGCCCGGAGAGAAGCCGACCGTTGCGCCACGCCAGAAAGCCCAAAAAACGCCACCGCGGCATCCGTGGCAAAAACCCCTCCTTTTTGATCGGATCGGCACTTCGGCAGCGCCGCCAGATTCGCGCGGCCGAGAGAGGGAAGTGAACCAAACCACAAGGTTCCAGATTGGTTTTTTTCTTTTTTTTTCACGTGGACGGCGTGAGAGGAAAATGGAGGAGCAGTGGGCAGCAAAGCGGATCAGGCGCAGCCATTGATTGGTAAATTGATTGGCTGATGGATTTCATCAGCTGTTGCAGTTTAGCCATTCAATTACTGGGGCCTGATGACCCCAGGTGGCATCAATGGTTCACGATTTCACGTATGCGTACGACTTGAATCGCTGCCGGCGCATACGAAAGGATAGGTTTTTTATGTACGCTCGGACCACGCTCACATGGACTGAAACACATGGATTGACCAATGGTGCCTTTGGGGGATTCAAATGGAGTAAGAGAATCCAAAGCTAGCTCAGGCATCAGGGAGCTTCCAAGTTGACCGTTCTGATCCGGGCTACGGAGTACTATGCAAAATCGAAGGACGCATTTAAATGGCAGGTAGAATGTCAGCGAACAGACGTATAGCTCCACAAAGGCTGAACATGTAAAGAGGAGTAAAAGGGGGAAGACGTAAAAGAATGCGAAAAAGAAAAATGGATGCGTGCTTTTCTCATCAGACAAACCAAAGAAAGCAGAATCATGGCTCACTGGAGTCACTGTCCATAGCTTTGAGTGGTTTCATCGAAATTCATGCCAAATTTACATCAGGCATACCACTTGCATTATGGGAGCAAACCTCATGAAAGGCACAAGAACGATAGTGGAGTACGGTAAAACAGAGACTTTGATTTATAGCTGAAGGAAACCTGAAATGGATACCAGAAATGTAGAATACAGAAAATGCATCACTCACAGCACAAATCAATAGCGAATACCAATTGATTTTATTTCGGTGCATTCGGTAATAGCAGTGCTAAACATCTAAAGTACGTCAACAAACACAAGTCCTCAGAGTTCACCAGACAATAACACCTCAGGATCACTACTACTATAAACAATGTTTGCGGATGTAAATTCACAATTGAGACTGTGACACCTCAGGGCTCTAAAAGAGAAAAGTGAAGTACAATGTTTTCAGATGTTAAACACATAACTGAGACAGTGTGGCACCTCAGGGTTCTAAAAAGGAAGTGTAGTATAATGCTTGCAGATGTTAAACTTACAAGTCACAACTTGCTGATTCTGTCTAATTTGAGCTTTAACCGAACAGAGCATTAGTCATCATGCATAAACAGAAGAAATTTTACAACAAAATGCTGCAGAGAGTAAAAGGAAATGCCGTCCACATTGAATCCTTGAACCCTTTCTATAGTCTATCTAGCCATAGGGCAGAAGCATCACTTTAAGTTGTCAACTCGACATTGTGCCATGCAAAGATGCACTTTCATGAAGCCATTTCCACTTTTGCAGAAGATTGAGCAAAAAATTGAAATTAACTGCAGTAAACAAATTTACTGGAGAAACTCGCACACACAATCAAATTGCAATATGATCCTTACAACATCGTTCTTTAAAGCCTTAATGTAAGTCTTATTTGATGTTTAGTTGCTACTTGGTGCAGTCTGCATTATGCCTTCAAACATAATCGCATAAGAAACAGAATTATATATTCATAAAAAGAATAAGATTTTTCTGATTAATTCCTTATTTATTAGGCTACCTTGTATCCAATGCATCAACTTCATTTTGCATTCATTTTCTCCTTGTTGATTCAGTCCAAATAAATTCAATCTTTTGAACACATTGGTGATTTCCTAGAAATCGATGAAAATCCCATGAGCAAGTTTCAAACATGGCGTCATGAAATTTTCATAAGTAGTGTTCTCTTCTAATTCAAAGATCACATTTTGGGTAGTTCCCAAAAGGTTAAGCAAATAAAAGAATTTTTGTTTTAGATAAGCTGACATCTTCCCAAAACCTTCAATTAACATAAGTATGCATAGCATTGAATTTATGGTTATGACTAAATTTGGTCAGAATATGTCTCTTTTACGGTTATGAATTGACCCAGTTGGCTGTTTGATGGCTTATAATTTGTGGGTAGGTGATAGATGGTTCCAAATGGTTGGATTAAAATTCTCCGGAAACAATATGCAAAGGCTTGGACCAAAGTGGAAGTTTCTACTTTCATAATACAATGCATTAGAGTCTAACGGGCAGGTTGTTCTGAGACATCTGTATGCAACTAACGGCCCCAAGAAGTCCCAGATATATCGCATTCTGGATCAGAAAAACAACTACATAAAACAAAATAGTACATCTTGCACACTATATACTGAAGAGTACTCGGACTAGTTTACATGTAGCTGCATGTTATGCCACTTTGTGCTATCTGATACCATGTCGTACTACCCAACTGAGGACATAGAGAATGTCACAAACTAAAACATTTAATGCAATCTCTAGTTCTGTTCATATGTTTAGGTTATCTTTCAAATCTTGTAAAATTAACAAATTTTCTTCAGGATAACCTGGAGAATGATTCTTTTTAGAATAAAGGTCCCCGGACCCAGCTTTTCATTGAAAGCAAAAGATAGATAGTGAATTCTCAGTCTTAATGCCACTTTGGATAGGAGGAATTTGGATTGAAATCCTTGTCCACATCATCCAAACACCTTCTTCATAGTTTGTTCTTCTGTAAGCCTATAAGGAGTGTTTTAAGAGAACTTACTTCGTTAGGATGTATGCTCCGTGATCAGATAATTTGACGGTTTCATGGATTGGGCATGATGATTCAAATGTTGCTAGTAATGTATAGCTCTACTTGCCTAGCTGATTCCCACACAACAAACATCAGTCTTGCACTCTTGCTTGCATTCAATAGCACAATAGTGCATTTTCCTAGTTGCCGCACTAGAACTATAATGATAAGAGAATCAGCAAAAGAAAAAAAAACATAGCCAGCAAGACAACAGAATGATCACTATTTATAGCTATCGATCATCATCATCATCCAAACATTTCCCACATCTGAAAAATTAGATGTCGAACTGGAGGAGGAAGAGCATGACAGTAAGCAAACAACTTCCTTGCCATGTTCCCTACTCTCTTCAGTCTCTCTCATCTCTCTCACCACACAACCGAAACAATATACACATGCCACAGCTGCGGTCATTATTGTATAACAAAAGGCGCTAGGCTTACTTGGTCACGGTTACTGATCGATCTCATTCGTCGATGAACTCGAACTCGTCCTCGCGGAGGTGGACGAAGAACCTGACCGGCTTGTCCTGGCCCTCCACGCTGAGATGGAACTCCACCTTGAAGGGGAAATTGGCCGTGATGCGCTTCCCCTTCCAGACGGCCACGTACTGCTTGACGACGCCCTCCATTCCCTTGATGTCCAGGTCGGGCGCCTTCATGACGTGGTACACGCGCACGGGCGCCGTGACTCGCACGCGCTTCCCGATCTTGGGCGCGACGGCGGCCTCCTCCGCGGCCACGTCCTCCGCGGACAAGTCGCGGGGGGTGAGGGCGACGTGGCGCGCGGTCCGGAGGCGCGCGCGGCGGGGCAGCGGCCCGAGGCATCGGGCGGCGGCGGCGGCGGCGGCTGAGGGGAGGAGGACGGAGGACGTCGAGGTGGACGGCGGCGCCAAGGCTGCGGTGGTCGTCGCCATTGCGAGAGGCTAAGCTGCGGCGCGCGCGCGGTGTGGAGAGACGGTTGAGTTCGGTGTCGAACAGGTGGTGGGCGCGGGAGAACCGAGTAAAGAGGATAGGCGTGGGGAACGAAAGGTGGAGGTGCGGGGGGACAGGAGAGGTGTGCGATTCTCCGAGTTGCGTAAAAAATTCTCCGATGCCTTGGATTTGCTGGTTTTGGGCCCTGGAAATGTCGAGAATTTCAAGGATTTTCAGGGATAAAATCCAAGAGGACCAAGAACCCTGTCTCTCTCACCTTGTCTCCAGAAATCTTCCTGCAACTCTGGTTTCCTCGTTTTATCACTAAGGCCATGTTTTGTTCCCATGAAAAACTTTTCATTATGTCACATCGAATATTTGAATACATGCATGGAGTATTAAATATAAAAAAACTAATTACACAGATTACGTGTAAAATTACGAGACGAATCTTTTAAGACTAATTGCTCCATGATCTGATAATGTGGTGCTACACTAAACATTTGATAATAACGGATTAATTATGCTTGATAAATTCGTATTGCAGTTTATAGGCGGAATCTGTAATTTGTTTTGTTATTAGTGTATGCTTAATACTTTAAATGTATATCCGTATATCCGATGTGACACGTTAAAACTTTTTACCTTAAAACTAAACATGGCCCAAATTCTTGTGATTTTTTTAAGAATGCGAGTCTTATAGGACCAAGTCATGTCATATACGCCAAGGTGCACTTTGAAGATGCTTCGGCTGTGTTTAGATCCAAAGTTTAGATCCAACCTTCAGTTATTTTTCATCACATTAACCTGTCATACACACATAACTTTTCAGTCACATCATCTCTAATTTCAATCAAAATTTAAACTTTGTGCTGAAAAGACAGATTCCATTGCCACGACAGGAGGTGAGATGGAACGAACGTAGCAGAATTTGGCAATAATAATGCAAATGCTCACCTGAGTTAATGGATAAGGCCGGGAGCACACACTTGGCTGTGGTTGGCCGTGCGCCCGTGCCAAACCAAAAGGAGCACCTAGCGAGTAGTAGCGACTAGCGAGCACGAGAGGGACCGGACAGCTCGGCTTCTCGTTGGTTTCCTCGGTTCGAGTCGCCGCGCTTGCGACTGTCGCTGGAGACGACGCTTGCTTGCGTTGCGTTCCCCCGCCGTGGAGGAGCCGCCAAGCCGGTACGTTCTGTGGATAAAGAACGTTCTGAAAGCCTTCTGTTCCCGGCCGATATGCCCGAGTATTAGCACAGATCCCAGTTGACAGTTGTAGAGATGGCGTCGGTGCATTCACCAGCACGATCGTTCAGTACATTGCCTTCTTCAGACAAACACTTGAAGAGGGAGACCCATAGTTGCCAAAATGGCTAACAAAATAAGGCACTACCTCATAATATTCTTGCAAAATGTTAAGTGGCATGTAGATGAACCATCCATGTTGTCTACAATAACGAGCCCACAAAGATGGTATGGTAAATCATAGTAACAACCCATGTAATCGCCAGTGCAGGTTCCTGTGGCTATTTACACCCCCAGCAAGTAAACAAACAAATCGTAATCGACCCTGCAATTCACTGCAGCAGACGATCTTTAACATGCAAATGCAGTGGCACTGACACATGTGATTCCTTCCTTTTGCAACGTGAAGGGTTTCCTTACGATGATTGATTACCGGTTTCTGTCTTCACATCTAAGATCTCACTCAGGGAAGCAGACCGGACAAGTGAAGCTGCTGGCAGAGGAGCTAGTAGTTTGGCTGCTGGGACTCGCAGAAGATAGATGCGGTTGTTCTCATTCAGTGCTCTCTCCAAGTTCTGGTTCATATCTTGTTCGAGTCTGGAGGCAGCATCATAAAGGGATCCTGGGGCTCCACGGACAGCTTTCTTTGCATCGACAATTGCATTAATTCCAAACTGTAATCGAGCTATCTCTTCACCGATTTCTGTTTTCTCATGCAGTTCAATAGCATAGTGATAGCTAGCTTCTGCATTGAATAGAGCAGCCTTTAACAGGATGTGTGCTACCCAAGATCTCTCAAAGTGGTTTTGTAGTGGAGGGATAACCAGTGAAGCATAAGCTTCTTCATAATACAAGGCAGCCTGCTTAGAGAAAAACGCACAACGTTAGGTATTTTCTGATGTAGATGCTTTTGGACATGAAACATACAAAAAATGAATACTGTGCAGTCTATAGATAACGCAAGTTAGGGTGCTAACTTCGCTGCTCCAATAACCTGATGGAAACAGTAAATAGCACATCTGTAAACTTTGGCTTTCCTAAGGCTGTGTTTGAGGGAGAGGGGATTGAGAAGATTAGGAAGATACGTAAAACGAGGTGAGCCATTAGCGCATGATTAATTGAGTATTAACTATTTTAAACTTCAAAAATGTATTAATATGATTTTTTAAAGCAACTTTCATATAGAAATTTTTTGCAAAAAACGCACCGTTTAGTAGTTTGGGAAGCGTGCGCGTGGAAAACGAAACAACCAATCTCCCCATGTTCTCCAAACAAATGCAGCCTAAGTCCTGTATTTCTTTTTGAAATGATTGGTCAAACTTTTAAAGCAGTTGGAACGAGTTCAAAATTCATTATTTTCTTAGTGTAAGAATTATGCCACAGTAATTTTTTGGTCACAAAATGCTGGTGTGATATCAGTTTAGGCATAATATACAACAAAACATCCACCTTGCAACAAGTGTTCACTGGTTCTGGAAGTAAATCTGTATTTTAACAATCAGGATTTGAGCATCATAGGTTATCTACGCCAACCGGGAAGCACAGACAGAATGATGTTTGAGGCTTAAGTCTAACATGATCTTCATTCTCATTCAGAAACTACTTCATGGTCCATAGAAGGAAATGAATACATCCACCAATCTGCAGCTAGTATTAGATCTTCTGATTCAATTAGTTCTTTTGACCCAGTTAAAAAGTTAATTTATTAGATTTCATATGTATGATGGAGGATGGTAAGACAAATGATGGACCGAGACATGCAAGGTGATGACATGTTACTAACAGTTGTCCTGATGCTAGTGCCTGTGGGAAGCTGCTCGTGAACTTACTTCAGATATTTCCTCCTGTTGTCTATTCATTAACTGATCTGTTCTTCAAACTTAACTCATAGTTCACATAATGATCTAAAGCTAGAATTGTACTGTATCAGTATTCAGTAAGGTAGATTACAAAGAATGCTCAGCCAGCTCAGTTTACTGAATTCCTAGCACAAAACAGAATTCTTGGAATGGATGTGATAGTAAAAAATGAACATTGTGCAAGTTAGGGGTGCTACATAGTGCATAGTTTACTGCAAGTTTCTGTCACTGTAATTCAGCACAAACAGTATTACAATAAGCTAATATAGCGCCAACCCAGCCTCCCACAAAGGAGGCTTTATAAACTTATAGCTAAAGCTAATATTTCACGAACTAACTGCAAATCATGCCATAGTTCTAAGGGGAATGCAAAGGGGGCTATTTTCGATACTGCAATTGGCAGTTGGCACAAATTTATAGGTTATGAGCTAATGTCTCACAGTCTCAATTGCGTGCCACATAGCAAATATAAATTGGCTGCGTACATCCGGTTTGGATGTATTCTAAAAAGCAAATCTAGAAAATGCATCCTCACAGCACCCCTCATAGATCATAGTATGTCTATCTAAAAGGATTTTTTGTTACAATATTTTCTTTGCATAATTTGCTTCACCCAGTCAGAACCCTAACAGCCAACAGGCAAGGGAGGGGAATTTTTTTCTGATCAATGCAGTGCCACTAGGGAAGATGAGCGAGCAAATCCAATCTCACCTGCTTGGCGACCTTGGAGCAAGCCGCTGACGACGTCCCCGCGGCGAGAGCGCGCTCGAAGCAGCACTCCTGCGCCTGCGCGAGCATGAGCCGCTCCAGCATCGCGGAGGCCTCGGGGCCCATATCCACCGTGTCCTCCGTGTCCTCCTCCTCCCCCTCCATCATCTCCCCCGCCGCTCTGAACGCCCCCGCGGCGCGCTGGAACTCCCCGCACGCAGCCTTGACCCCGCCCACCGCCGCCCGGTCGACGGCCGCCGCGATCCTCGACGAGGCGGCGCCGACGTTGAACACGACGGCGGCCTTCTCGAAGCGGAGGGACGCCGCGGTGCGCCTGAGGTGGGGCCTGAAGGCGTCGTGCCAGGTGAAGGCGAGGTCGTCGTCGAAGTCGCAGGGGTCGTCGCGCGCGGAGGCGAGGAGGCGGTGGTACCGGAGTAGGAGCGCGCGGCGGGAGGCGGCGTCCTGGGTCGTCGCCTGGGAGCTCGGAGCGGAGAGGGAAGCGCGTGCCTCCCGGAGGTCGGTGAAGAAGGCCGAGTTGAAGAAGTGGCGGTCCCGGAAGAGCTCGGTGGCGGCCGTCTTCTTCTCCGGGACGGAGAGCATCGGCGACGGCGGCCGCGACATTGCACGCCTCTTGGCTTTGACGGCGGCGACCGGCGAAGGCGAAGGGGATGCCTGCAAAGGTTGCTACTGCAATTGTAAATGCTTTCCTGGCCCAGCTATTAGTAGATCGGCCCATCTGGGCCATTGGGCTATTACGAGTTTCTGGCCCAATTTCTTCTCAAACAGTTCGAAATTTCGAATCCACATAATAATTCCACCGATCAGACACTCGCGCCATTAATGTTAACATGTCTGTCCATATTTGTGGTCATGAACTCATAACGATGACTTGAAGACGAAAAACAAGACTTTAGGAAGACATGCAACTATCAATTCATTATTATTGACCATAGAGACTACAGTACAAATAAGTACCTTGCCGATGGCACATCTCTTCCAAATCAAGAAGACACACATGAATAAATACATGATAGTACGTGCAAGAAATGAAGAAAACACAAGCATCAAGTAAGAACAGAGGAGAGCATAAAACCCGTCTCCTCTTTCCAAGCCTCTTTCAGGAATCCTTAAACCCTTACATGCTACATTCAACTACAAATCCTGCAGGTGACAGACACTGATACGATCACTAGCTAGTCAAATGTCTAAAAGAATCCATCTTTGAAAAATCATGGAAAGATCGATAAGGATGACGCTTGTAATATTTGGCCATCCTTATCCCAGCCTAAAAAATGCAGCCGGGTTTTTCCTTGTGGTTTTCAGGAGGAGATTGGTCAGAGAGGAAGGTCGGGAATGGGAATGCCCTCGAGGAGTTGAGATATTCCTGCGATGTGATCGCTGATCATACTGTGCGATGCCACAAGCTGTCTCAAAAATTTGCAACCTGTGTGCATCTCACAACCTAGGTGTTCCTGCGTGTAAGAGTGGCGTGTGATGCTGTTTAGTCCTTCCATGCGAAGGTTGGACTGTGGCAAGGAGGGGGAGGACGAGGAGGAAGAGAGGAGGAAGCGGCAGTGGCCATGGCTGTCCCTGCCGCCGGCACCGGTGCCACGAGGACTTCCGGCGCGGTGTAGGCGTAGTCCATGCCGGTCTGCTCACCGGCCAAGCGAGACTGGAGGAGGAGGCCGTGGGCGCTGTCCATGTCGTAGTCCCAGACGGAGCTTCCTGGCCCCCAAGCGCTGAACCACGCCTCGTCGGCCGGACCCCAAATGCCGCCGGACGTCACCGACGGCTGGAACATGGCCGTGTTGCCGTCGCTGCCATGTTGTTCAGCTGTCTGGAGCTGAGGATTCAGCTCGGGTTCTGGAATGCCGTCCTGCTCTGCTACGAAGAGCAGAGGCTTCGGTTCAGTGTTGGATGACTCTTCTGTAGGCTGCTGCGGCTGCGGCTGAGCTTGCTGCGTGTGGCTCTCGTCCGGTGTAGGCGGAGCCGAAGAGGAGGAGGAGGAGCAGGAGGCCGCGGCGCTGGCGCTGGTGCGTCCGCTCCCGCCGGTGCGGCCTTTGCCAAGGAAGAGGTCGGGGAAGTTGAGCCGCGCGTTCTCGCCGCGGAGCTTGAAGGCCTCGCGGTCGTACGCCATGGCTGCGTCCTCGGCGGTGTCGAACGTGCCGAGCCACAGCCTGGTGCGGTTCCGCGGCAGGCGGATCTCCGCCACCCACTTCCCCCAGTGGCGCTGCCGCACGCCGCGGTACAGTTTGGGCGGCCCAGGCGCGCGCAGCAGGTGCTGGTACAGCGACGGCGGCAGGGCGCCGCCGCGCACGCCTGGGGGGCTCAGGTTCAGCGCCTCGCTCCAGTAGCGCAGCAGCAGGCGCTGCTGCTCCTCCGGCGGCAAGAACTGCGGCGGGAACAGAGGAGACGCCGCCCCAAACTGCGGCTGCTGCTGCTGCTGCTGCTGGCTACTGCCGAACGATATCATTTGCTGATTCTGCAAGGGTGATTGCTGCTGCGGCAGCAGAGGCTGCGGGTACAAGCTGGAGTACTGCAGCAGCGGGAGGAGCCTTGGTGCCGCCGCGCCCGGAGACGGATCGTACGCGAACGGAAATATATGTCGCGACGATGGCGGCTGATTCGGCAAGGACATCGCCGGGGGAGACATGGGGTTGGAGACAGAGGACGAGTCGGGGGAAGCAGGGGCCGACGACAGCGAGGAGATGGAGCGCTGGAGGCGACGATCGGGGCTGCGGATCTTCTTCTGGGGACGGAGCAATGCTGCGGCCGCCGGCGCGTCTTCTAAAACTGGCACCGGCTGCTGCGTCTCGGCCGCGGAGGAGGAGATCGCCGCGCTCACTCCCTTCCCCTTCCATCTCCGCCCGTGCCCGCGCGCTCCTCCACCGCCTCCGCCTCCGCCTCTGTCCACCGCGTCCATCCCGCCCGATTCACGAACACACCCAACAACGCCGCGCGCTCTCTTCCTCACACACCACCGGTCGCGATTCCACCGAGTGCAGTAAACCCGGCCGCCCGCTAGAGCAACAACAAAATGCTGCGGTAAAACGAGCGAGACGGCGGGGCGGGAAAGGCTTTGGGCGGGCGACCGGTGTGCGCGTGTGCGCGGTGGAGGCGCCGAGCCAATGGGGCGCGTGGTTCTGATTCGGGGACGAGCGCCTCGGGGCGAAACGGGCTTATAAAGGTGGGTGATCGCGCAATCGAAAGGCGAGGTGGGATTTTTTTTTCGATCCCGTGGAGGGTTCCACAGGGGAGGAGGAGAAAAAAAGCATGCGTCGTTTGTGTGGCGGGAACGGATCGTGGTCGGTGCCCGGGACCCACGCGCATTGACCCGTCTGCCCCTCTCGCCTCGCGACACGGCGGACGTCACGATTCGTGCCGCGGCGGATGGGGCGCCGCACGGATCTCGAGGCGTAAGCTGGGGGCACCACGTAGCTTTCGGCCGCTGTCACGGCTAGACATGGACGGTACTGATCGAGAAAGAAGCCTTAGACTGATCCATCTGTTGCTTTCCTTGCAATCCAGTATTCTTCTTCTAGTCTCAAGTTTCTCTCCGCTTCAAAAAAATCGCGTTGCTCCTCTTCTCTAACTCCAGCAAAGAGACAATATCAGCGAGCGTTTCAACTTCCAACGATCCGATCTTAACTCGAAATAATTTGACGGTTTTGGACGATTTGTGCAACCAATGCAAGCAAGATGAGCATATACTCCTACTTTGCGAAACACATATCAACGTGTTATTGGCCACAGTGTGCATGATTAGGGTTGTGAAAGAGCTGCATGCCGAAAGGGGGTGAACAAACTAATTAACTGAGCTTATCGTCTTAATTGTTTAGTGGAAGATGGAGCTCTAGCCACAGAAGACAGAACTGATTACATAATTTGGTCTTTTGCTGATAACAATAGTAGCCACAGAAGCTAGTAGATTAACACAATGCATCAAGGATAACTATGATCTGCACAAATATTGTTTAGTTTGGCAAATAAAAAAATTCCCTCTTCTCCGTGCACCATGAAGGATTAGCAAGAGATGAGGTCACGGCGCGCATTCCTGCCGGAACAATCAATGCAACAACTCGTACGGAGTAAGCATATAAAACTATTGCGCTGACCATTTCTTTTAGTGACATGTTTATGGGTGAATGGTGATCTCTATCTGTACCGGAAGCATATCAATCTTACCAATGGAGGAGTATTATATAGTCATCCAGTTCTGAAGTGCTTCTGCCTTTTCTTTCCCCTGCTGGATCAGGCCTTATGTTTGTTTCGTACCCTCAAGCAATCAATTAAACCCTATTTTCCCTATTTTTGTCATGATCTCAAGTGTGCTGCTCGGCATGGTATATCCCTCTTATTTTATTCAGTTATCATTTTATTCTGAATGCATAATGCACTGATTTTTCTTTCCTACCCATCAAACTGACAACAATGAGTGCTCGATAAATCACTCATAACTGTTGAGTTACATAAGCAACGTACGATGAGCAGAACCTTCCCATTTGGCAGTTTCCGAATAATCAGTATTATGAGATAGTAACAGCCATGTGCATGCAGCCATATACTCGAGGACAGAACCAAGCTTCCCGACGAATCGTGCAACCTTTTGCCGTTGCAGGCTCGTTCGCGAAATCTCCATTTGCAACATTTTTTTGAAGCCGAAAAATATAATCATAAAATTCACACGCAGTGGTTTTCTTTCCCAACCACACCGCGAATACAAAAGGATTGTCTTCATATGGTTGAGACGCCGGTTAAAGAACTCTGCTGCAGCAGATGCAGAAAATGGGGGAAAAAAAGCTTATTGTGTACATACTCTCTCTGCTCTTGTTTGAGGTAAACTAGTACTCCCTCGTTTTAGGCTACAAGATGTTTTGACATTGATCAAAGTCAAATTGCTTTAAATTTAACTAAATTTATAAAAAATATAATAATATTTACATTACGAGTAAAATCCATAACCGGTCTCTAAACTTGTACCGTTGTGTCATCCCGGTCCCTAAACTCGCAAATCGACCATTCAGGTCCTCAAACTTATTTGATTGTGTCATCCCGATCCCTAAACTTGCAGATCACTCGTTTAGGTCCTCCAACTTGTTCAGTTGCGTCACCCCGGTCCCTAAACAGGACGGTCTAGAGACTTTATATCAAAAAATAATTCATAACTTTTTCATGTGAACTCTAATGAAGACAAACTTTATATCAAAATTGTAGCCCTCGACACGACCTACAACTTTATAGTTGTAAAGTTTTTGAATTAAAACTGTTTAGGGTCCTAAAATATTGTTGCATGTTTATAGATTTTGAAATTTTAATTTTAAAATTACATTTTGGGACAAAAAAATGACTTAGAATAAAAACAATTCAACTACAAAGTTGTAAATCGCATCGAGGGCTATAAGTTTGATATAAAGTTTGTCTTTATTAGAATTCACATGAAAAAGTTATGAATTATTTTTGAATATAAAGTCTTTAGACCGTCCTATTTGACCCAGATAATATTCAAATCCAAGTTTAGAGACCAGAGCGACTTAACTGAATAAGTTGGAGGAACTAAACGAGTGATCTGCAAGTTTAGGGACCAGGATGACACGGTCGAACAAGTTTGAGGACTGAACAGTCGATTTGCGAGTTTAGGGACCGGGATGACATAACGGTACAAGTTTAGGGACCGGTGATGGATTTTACTCTTACATTACCAAATTAGTTTTATTAAATTAATAATTAAATATATTTTTATAATAAATTTATCTTGTGTCAAAAAATATTTAAATATTCCTATTTTTCTATAAACTTAAAGCAGTTTAACTTTAACTAAAGTCTTTTTAAATTTCAAACTAAAGAGGGTGGAGTATTACGCTATCAATTTTCGGCAAAATTTTTTTTCCGAACTTTCGGTAATATCAGCTGATCAATTGACATGTTTCCCGAAAATACGACACAAGCAGGGAGGGGCGCTAGTCGCGGTGACCTTTTTGGCATTTATGCGCGCAGCACGACGCACCGAGAGTCCGTGACAAACCCAGAAACTGTCGTGCGACTGTGGCTTCGGCTGCCGATCGGGGCCCCCTCCCCCAGGCCCTCCTCTCCTCGCTTTCGGCACGCACGACTCCAAAAACTGCACCCCCCGCATTATCAGATATTCAGATTACTCCCATCCTCTCTTCTCCCCCTCCACCACGTATACACGTATTATACGAGAGCAACCCAAAGTCCACGGCGACAAGCCAAGGGTGCCCAGGGCCCCATCTCCACCGCCGGCCGGCGGCGACCACCGCCCTGGCCCCACCCACCAACCAACCAAAACCCCCCTCTCTTCCCGCGAGGCCGCGACTCGCCAACGGCCACTGCCAAGCGTGCAGGCTGACTTGCCTTGCCCCGGACGGGCCGCGCGCGCCGTCGCGGAGGGGGAGGGGGGGGGGGGGTGGTTAAATGGCGGGGAGACTTTTTGCACGGTGGCCGACGGCGACGCCGCGGAGCGCGGGTGGCCACACACGATGGGCACGAGCCAACACGCACGGCGGCCGGCCGGCCGGCGCGTGGACGGTCCGACACGTGCCCGCGAGACGCACCTACGCTACGCGCTAATGATTCTGGGACTCGAACTTCCAAACGTGGCCCAGCGCGCGTGTGTTAATTTTTTCAAAAGTCAGGGGAATTTAGCGACTGCTACTGGCACTTGGACATGCATGGAAAAGGCGCACAAACTAGCTAGTACTAGTACTACTACTCTACGCGACGACTACTTGGACAAGTGCGCGAGCTATCCAGAATCGAGAACCTTCCATGCCACTTATTTAGATGAGATTAAAACTTTTAAGTACCTATCACATCGAATGTTTAGACACTAATTATAAATATTAAACGTAGACTATTAATAAAGTACATCCATAATCTTAAACTAATTCACGAGACGAATCTATTGAGCATAATTAATCCATGATTAGCCTATGTGATGTTACAGTAAACATTATCTAATTATGGATTAATTAGGCTTTAAAAAATTATCTCGTAAATTAGCTTTTATTTATATAATTAGTTTAGTAAGTAGTATATATTTAATACTCTAAATTAGTGTAGACTAAAGTCAAGTTCCTGATACAAACACCACCTTACTGAAAGAGTTGCTAAACAATTCCATGTGTCCTCGTTAGCCCCATACAAATATCTGCGAAGTGCTTCTTCCAGGTGGCACTGTTTACGTAATCAATTTTAGTCTTCCAGAAGTTTGATGGTGAAATATTGTACCACTCCCCCCAGTATTTTGTGTAAAATATTTTTTGTTATAACCTGTCTTGTAGTTTTCCTTAGTAAAATGTTTTCCAAATCCATCTACCTACCATTTTTAGTCAAATCTATTTAACGCTAGAGTACATATGTACTACTAATTATGTGGGTTAATTGTCTCAAAATTTATTTTAATCAATTTATACGTGGAATGTGTGTGTGTATTAGGTTCTTTAAATAAGGTTATTATGGTCATTTATTTATTCTCCTAATGTCTTAAATTAGGTAGAATTTTAATTTTTATGGGACGGAGGAATTATTAAATATTGGACACACTGATAAAAATCCAACTTTAACATGAAAATGTTTACCTTTTAATTAGGTGGATTATATCATGACTGTGTGTTATGACCTTTAATTTGGTGGATTATATCATGGTTGTGTATAATGAACTTTAAGAGTATTTCTATTAAACAAAACATGCTACACAAATTATCATGGACTCTTTGCTTTTCTTTCGAAATAAATATAATGTCATTGAAAATACCATGAACTCTTTTATTAGTTTCATTTTTTCCAAACTTTAATTAGTATTAAATTCAATATACTCTTAGCTTCTGCATCAACTAAAAAGGCACACAACCATAGTTAAAGGCACATGGATTTATGATTTGAATTTTTGTTGAGTATCGGACTTGTTTGGTTTACTACAATGTCAAAATGTTGACAATACCACATCGTATGAAAATTTTACTAGTGCCAATTTTTTTTCTACAATTTATGTGTGTTATTAGCATGTCTTCATAGTAAACCATACACTAGTCAAAACTATTCAAATAACAATAATTTGATAGGGCACATTTTTTTCATCAAACAAAAAATGGCCCATCACCACACCGGTGGTTGTGTTTCCAATCGGGACCATTATCATACTGCTTGAAGTAGCTAGCGAAATTG